CGGAGCAAGACAGAGGAAGGAAGAGGGAGAGGGAGGGGAGCCGTCGTGTTCAAGCCGCCCGTCCACGGTTACCACAGCCTCGAGCGGAGTCAGATTCAGTCAGAAGAAGGCCAAGGATGGTGCGAGGCAGTGGCAAGGAAGTGGCCAGAGGAACGGCCGCGCTCGCACTGATTTTCCTGCCCCTTCTCACAGGGACCAATTAGCTTCAAGCGCCGCCTCCTGCGGCAGAGGCAGGCGACCAATGCCCTTCGAGATCCCGCACGGCCGGCCGCCCCTCCCCCGCCGCCGCCTTCTCCGCGCGCCAAGCTCTCAGGCCAGCCAATGGAGCTTCGAGTTGAGGCTCCCGCCCCTCCCCCCGCTGCCCTTCCCGGGCTGTTCGCCCCCTTCTGCGGGGTGGGGGGGTGGCCAATGGGGCATCGAGTATCGCTCCAGATGGAGGCTGGCCTGGCCCCCGCCCCGCCCCTGGACGTTGACCCCGACTCCTTTGGCACGTGCAGCCTCGCCCTGTAGGCCTGTGCCCCCAGCCTCCATTGCTCTAGGGCTCGTCTCTGCGTGGAAGCCAGTGTTTTCTCCCATTTTTCTCCCATTTCTCTCCCAGTGCCTCAACTCCTGAGCTACGCTTCTCCTTTTGTGTGTCTCCCCAACCCCGTGATTTCCCCTTTTCCTTACCAGGTCCCACCTTTTCCGGTCAGGCCCCTTTCCTTGTGTCTCTTCCCGTCTGTGTGTCAGTTCTGATGTTCTTAACCTCGACCTTCCCTTTCTCTCGGACTCTGGCTCTCTGCTTGTCAGTCCTGCTGGTTTTCATACCCACCTTCTCCCCGTGCATCATTCGCTGGTCGTCAGGCCACCGTCCCCGCTGTCTTTGCTTCCGAGAAGCCCCTAGTTGTTGTCTTTCCGGCCTTCTCTGCCCTGCGTGTGCATCTCCCTCTTGGATTTCACCTCTCTCGGGGCTCCCCTCCCTGTGTATCTCTGTTAGACCCATCTCAGGCTTTCCCTCTCCCTCCTGTCTGCGTTGTCCCCTTTTCCCGTGCATCCTGCCCAGTCTCCTTTTCTCTTTCACCCTTTGAGATCGTTCACCCTGAGAGCCCGGTCTTTGTGCTCCACTCCTCATTTTCCTGCCCCTCCACTTGTGCTCTCTCTGCTGGTCCTCCTTTGTCTCCCTGCAAGGTTCCATTCCGTCAGTTAGCTCCTCCTTCTCTCTCTAGGTTTGTCTATTGTAGGGGTGACGTCCCCTCTGACCACTTCCTTGAAGATTTCATTTTAGTGTTTTCTGGTTGTGTCTGCACTTGTGCTCAGATTATTGGGTTCTGTCGTTTTGCATCCCAGGTGATATGTGTCATCTTCTCTGGTTGGCCTAACCGTTCTATGTGATCCTTTGTTAGCCTCATTTCCCCCTTCCATGTCCCATCTTTTCTGTGCATCTTAGCCTCTTTGTTTGGCACAGATCTCTGTGTGTGGCATTCCAGGCAGAAAAGGGTGGCAGAAGTGACCTCTAGCTGGACTACTGTGCAGGGGAGCCATACTAGATAAAATTGGAAAGGTTGTTTGGGGCCAGTCTGGAGGGTTGGGTTTGGGGGAGCCTTGAAAGCCAGCTAAAGAGGTTAAACTTGATCCTTTGGGAGGGGGGGAGGGAAGGGAGCCAACATTTACAGAGTGCTTAACACTTGCCCAGCACTTTATATTAGTAATCTTATTAACCGTTACAATGACCCTGTGGGATGTATTTTCAATCTATTTTATAAATAAGGAAGCAGGCTCAGAATTCAACAAGTTACACACAGCTGTTAGTGGAGGGATAAAGATTCCAACCTAGGTCTATGAACTTTGTACTCTCTTCTGCATTGTTTTAGTTAGTTATTCCCACTAATTCCCATTCCCCACTTTCATTCCCTAACCCTCCCAGAGGCAGTCAGTCTAAGGTAGTTAATGTGTATCTTTTGGTTTGTGTGTGCTCTTGCAAGATGTGTAGTGTTTTATGTGTGTGAGTTTTTAATTTATGCCAATGATGTTATGTCATTTACTAAAAATAATTAGTTCTGCGCTTTTATAGTCTATCCATGTACAAATCATGTGTACATCTAATCAGTTGCTTCTAGCTGCCATGTGATGGTCTGTGGTGTGCCTTCCCTGAGTGTTACCATTCACCTGGTCTCAGGGAGGGACGCTCTCATTGCCTCAACTCACTGTCACCACAATAATGTTGCATCCTCATACATGTTCCTTTGTAGAAGAGGGTGGAAATTTTCATTATGTATATATATAGGGTGTACCAGAAATGAGTTTTTATAAACCTAAGTTGATTAAGTGTTGTCAGATTCCTCCCTTAAATGCTGAGACACTGATCAGAATTCTCAACTCCTCTGTTCCTCGGGGTCCAAAAGAGGGTCTTATCTCCACCCCATGAGCAGCAGTGCACGAGGGTCCCTTTATCCCCACAGTCCTGCCAACATGTGTTTGTTTCCAGCTTTCTGGTCTATGCCAGTCTGACAGATGTACGTTTGGTATATTGCATTTCCTGGATTACTGTTGGGTTGGAGTGTCTCTTTATACGTTTGTTAGCCTTTCTTGTTTGCTCTTCTGAGGATTGCCTCTTCATGTGCTTGGCCCATTTTCCTACCAGGGCTGTTCTCTTTTTCTTGTTGCTTTTCAGGAGATTCTTGGCCATTTTTGTTAGTTTAAGCCATTGCATATATTCTTCTCATGCCAATTTTGGCATTTCATATTATTTTAGATATTTATCTCCTTCAGAATTTCAAATTTATAAATGTAGAATTGTTAATGATACTTTTATGATTTAAAAAACATCTGATGTCTGTCATTTCCCATTTTTCATTCTGTATTTTATTTGCATCTTCTCTCTTGATCAGATTTGCCAGAGAACGGGCCGGCCCGTGGCTCACTCGGGAGAGTGCGGTGCTGATAACACCAAAGCTCCAGGTTCGGATCCCATATAGGGATTGCCGGTTCACTCACTTGGGAGAGCGTGGTGCTGACAACACCAAGTCAAGGGTTAAGGTCCCCTTACTGGTCATCTTAAAAAAAAAAAAAAAGGTTTGCCAGAGAACTATCTTATTAATCTTTTTAAAGAATGCATGTTGGTTTTTTGGTGATAACGATTTGCCAGAGAACTATCTTATTAATCTTTTTAAAGAATGCATGTTGGTTTTTTGGTGATAACATTTGTTGTTGTTATTGTTAACTATTTCTTTGATTTCTGCTATCATCTTTATTTCCATTCTTTTTTGGGGGAGAGAGCTTGCTTTGTTGCCCCTTATAATTTAGGAGGGGGTTTGCTTTGTTGCTCTTGAGCTAATTCATGAACATATTTATTTTTTAATCCTTCTTGTTTCCTGATAAATGTATTTATTCAATTTTATTTTTACTAAAAAAAATTTTTTTTTTGGCAGCTGGACTGTATGGGAATCTGTACCCTTGATCTTGCTGTTATAACACTGTGCTATAGCTGATAATTGTATTTAAAAGTATAAATTTATTTCTAAATACTGCTTTAGTTGTGTACCAAATTTTGTTGTGCAGTTTAATAAAAAGCTTTTGATTTTGAAATGATTATTGGCTCACGGGAAGTTGTGAAATGATACATAAATCCCTTAACCCTTCCTCCAGCTTCCTTATGGGAACATCTTCTATAACTGCAGTATGTGAGCAGGAGATTGATATTGGTACAATACTCTTAACTACTGGCAGCTGGACTGTATGGGAATCTGTACCCTTGATCTTGCTGTTATAATACTGTGCTATAGCTGATAATTGTATTTAAAAGTATAAATTTATTTCTAAATACTGCTTTAGTTGTGTACCAAATTTTGTTGTGCAGTTTAAAAAAAAGCTTTTGATTTTGAAATGATTATCGGCTCACGGGAAGTTGTGAAATGATACATAAATCCCTTAACCCTTCCTCCAGCTTCCTTATGGGGACATCTTCTATAACTGCAGTATGTGAGCAGGAGATTGATATTGGTACAATACTCTTAACTACACTAGAGAACTTATTCAGTTTTCAACAGATTTTACATGCACTGTGTGTGTGTGCGCATGTGTGAATGAGATATGTAGTATGCTTATTATTCAGTTCTAAATACTTTTTAATTTTCCTATCAAATCAAGGGTTATTTAGTAATATGTTGATTAACTTCCACACACACAGGAGCTTTAAGTGTCCGTTTGTTGTTCCGATCTCATTGCTTTTGTCTGGAGAACAGCCTATGTAATAGTGATACTTTGGATAAGGCATTGTCCTCTGCTCAGCACTGTGTCCCATGGGAGGACCCAGGTGGGAGAATGAGGGTCGTGCTTTGAGAAGCAAACATGGTGGGTGAGGATTAGATTAGAGGGGAGACTACGGAGATGGGAGTACCTGAAGGTCTTAGGGAGCCTGCATCACAGAAAATGACACAATCAACTTTCTGCTTCAAAAACATTGACCCAGAGGCAGGTGGACAAAGAATTCAGGACTGACAAGAACGGAGCTTGGGACCCAGACTGAAGAGTTTCCAGACTGACCTCTAGCATCCAGGATCCAGACGCAGGACCATGGGACCTCAGTGTATGAGACCTGTGCAGCTGCTCTGCCTCCTAGGGGCCATCTCCACTCTGCCTCGTAAGTCCTCGGGCTGGGTGTTATAAGACCCAAAAAGTTGGGAGGCTGGATTCATGTCACAGGGGGTACGAGAGCTGGATATCTGGGTCCCTCAGGGGACAGGATGTGTGAAGATTGAGTTTTTGATTGACAGGTCAGGGGCGGAGAGGGTGATGTGAGGGGCAGATGACTGGAACAGCATTCTCTCTTTAGGGTCTGGAGCTCTTTTGTGCTATGAAGCAACTGCCTCAGCCTTCAGAGCTGTTGCTTTCCATGATTGGAAGTGGCTTCTGATGAGGAGCATGGTGTGTAAGCTGAGAGAGGGCTGTGAGGAGACGCTAGTGTTCATCGAGACAGGTGAAGTGGTGTGGATTTTATACATTTTCATGCTCTTCTGCCCCCTCGCTCTACTCCCAGCACCTAGGACTGGAGTTCCTGATATTTACGTCATTATATGTTTGGGGATAATATCAGACACTGGAAGGAGAGGGGCAGGGCCGAGCTGGTTGTGGTGTGAGCTGGATAAGACTGCAGAATGGAGTTGGGCAAATCCTCAGAGGAGGGGACAATCTGGGGGAGAAGAAATGGGTGATCACAAGGGAGAGAGGAGCAGAGTGGCTACTGCAGGGAAAGGAATGAGGAGATACAGATGCAGATCCCTCCATCATCTGACCCCAAAGAAGCTGCAGTGAGTGAACACTGGGGAGAGTCAAAGCTGGTGATGGGGCAGGGTGGGCACAGGAAGAGCAGGAGGGAGGGTGGGATGGTAGACACTGGGTGAGGCCAACAACACTGATCAGAGCTCTCTAATCCTCTGTTCCTCAGGAACCACAAAGGGAGTTGTGGGTTTTAAAGGCTGCAGCTCAGCCTTATCTTACCCCCCGCAAATCTCCTACCTCGTTTCACCGCCTGGAGTGTCCATTGCCTCCTATAGCCATGTCTGCCGGACCTATCTCTGCAACAATCTCACCAACTTGGAGCCTTTTGTGAAACTCAAGGCCACAGATTCCAAGTCTATAGCATTTTCTTCTCATAATTGCCCAACATGTGTGGGACAGCACACTAAGGAATGCCTACCAAATTTTGTCACCACCAGTTCTTGCCCCTACACCGCCCCTAAGTGTTACAGTTCCACCTTAAAATTTCAGGCAGGTGAGAGGAGAGGAACTTTATCAAATCCTTACTCTATGCCTTGTGCTGTCTAGTGCCATTGTGTCTCTGAGAGAGGCTGGTAGGATTTTGAGATGGGATTGGGGTTGCAGGGGACCAGGCACATGAATTGTGAGGAGGAAGGGGTAAGTCTCTGGTGCCTAAGTCTCTGGTGGGAGAGCAGGATCCTGGTTTGCAAGGGGCCTCTGGGAAGAGGGCAGGGCTCTTGAGTCTTGGAAGTGTTCCAGACTCCTCCCTCTCTTACAGGGTTTCTCAATACCACCTTCCTCCTCATGGGCTGTGCTCGTGAACATCAAAAGATTTTAGGAGATTTTCAGTATATTGGGAGCATCAAAGTGACTGAGGTCCTCAACGTCTTAGAGAAGTCTCAGATTATTGATGCAGGTTCTTCCAGTCGAGATCCTGCTTGGGGCATCCTCTTAGGC